TGCACACCTGCGGGCACACACCCGGAGGGACAGACACCTGCCGGCACATGCACACCTGCGGGCACACGCACCTGCAGGCACACACACCTGCAGGCACACCTGGTAAGCAAGTGCTCACATGCCCACGTCCAGCGACTACAGCACTGTCAGACAACACTGGGCCCTTTGAGCAGTAACACACGCTGGAAAGCCCAGGAGTGTCTCCAAAAGTGTGAGCCATTGTGCTCATTCTTAGAAAAACAAAAGCCTGATAAGCCTGAGAACAACACTTAAGAACTAAATAAGCATGTCATCCTCGCGATGAGGCAGAGAAGCACACCCCAGCGCACGCACGAAGACAGCACAGTAAAGATAAGCCCGCCGTTTCCATCTCCGACTTCTCTCTCTACAGTCTGACGCCATTCAAGCCACCAAACATATGCCCAAAGGGCGTCCCCGAAACACGACTGCTGCGGAGCACAGACGCGCACAGCCAGGCCACGGCGTCCTCGCCCACATCCGGAGAGAGCTGCTAGCCCCTCACCCACCCAGGGGCTGGGGTCAGAGGAAGAACACGCGGTTCTGTGGAAACACCCAGAGGGGGCTTCCCCCCCCGGCCCAGCAGGCCACCTTGGCCACCATCCGTGCGCCACCTCCTCGTGTAACCCACGACGACATCTAATTGGCAGGGAGCCAGCCACGGATCCATATATTAGATCAGATAATTAAAAATACAGGGTTATGTAATCTTATTTAATGGTTACTTGGCTTGGGCTGAAACTCTCCAAAGCAATACCAGAGTGAGCGCTGGATTAAATTATAATGCGTACAAAATTTCTGAAGATGGTTTTAGGAAGAGTCAGCACATCCCCTACCAGCAAATATAATATAAAGCATGCACCGCTACTTTTCAGCTCCAATTAGCCTCCTTGGCAAGAAGCTGCAAAGTCAATTCACTCTACAGGCCCTGATGTGCGTGCATGGGGCGGGGGTCCCCACGGCCTGTCTGCGTTTGAACGTCAAGTCAACGTTACCCAGCACTGTTGGCAAAGGACCCAATTCTGCTGAGGGGGTGGGGAGGCAGGACTTGTTATCCTGGGACGATAAACATCAGGACGGCGGCTGTGTGACGTGCCGGTGCCGGTCTGGAAGCCTCACGCCGCACAGGTATCATCCATTACTAGAAAAAGTGGGACTCGGCCAGGAAGGCCATCTGTGTTTGCAAATACACATTTTTTTTTTTAAACGACAGCACCCCGTTTCTGCACCGTTTCATTAAGGTGATTCCGACAGTTAAGGGTAAGTTCTAGGAGGGTCCACTCCGGAGGGGCCCTGGCCTGACCGAGGGACCCTTGGTGAGGGTCTGCCACCAATCCGTTCCTTCCAAGAATACCACTAGGCGAGAGAAAATCAAGGTCAGGCAACAGGAAAGGGAGCAGGAATTACCTTGATCCAGCAGGGGTTCCAATTAGCACGTGTGCTGTGTGCGTGTCCCGTCCTCCCATGGGGAGCGGGGACAGGAGGAGCCAGAGCCAGGGCCTCAAGGGCACAGGCCCCGGCTTCAGCTGAACTCCACCTCAGCTGCCCACGAGCTTGTGGATGGAGGCTCCTGGCTCCTCAGCCCGCTTCCCTGGAAAGGGAAGACACGGTGCCGGCCCCGGGATGTGAGCGTGGAACCGGCCAGCAGGTACCCAAAGGAGCCACAAGCAACTTCACCACACTCTGCACACGGAAGCTGGCGGGCGTGTGGTGTGCGAGGGCTCAGCACAGCCACCCCAGCGGGGGTGTGCGAGTCGGAAGCCAGACCCAGAGTGGACACAGAATGACCTCTGAAAAGTCAGTTTCCTTCAGGGGCGAACGGTCAAAAAGATAGCTACATAAGAGTGAAAAAGCTTTCACACAGCCCAAGACGGTTATCCTATTTGAGATCAAAACTTCCTAACCCGTCCTTCACATTGCAACCTGAAACACTACGTGGTAGAAATGCACTTGTGATCCGGGAGTTACATAACGGAGCATAATTAATATTTTAAATGATCGGGCTTGGCATGCTGCATTTCAGCCTGGGCTCTCAGGAGAAAGTGTCTGAAGTCGTCCACATGGACAGGGTGCAGCCGTCCTGTGCAGCCCGCCTCCTCCTTCCCTCACTGGTCAAGCCGAGAAATGCACTTCTTACAGGAATCAGGTTTTTGATGGAAAAGTAAGGTAATCAGGTGGAACGGCTGGAAAAAGCATTCAATGGCAGCACCGTCCCGTCTGTCTCAAGGACCCCGAAGCCATCAACACAGGGAAAAGGTCGAGGCCCAAGAATTCCAGCGTGCAACAGACACCCGCCATCCGGGCAGAGACATTCCCCACTTTGAGAGCGAGAGCACCCACTTCTCTTAGCTAAACCGGGCCTCAAGGGCCGCCTGGTGCGGCTTCTTATCAAGGAAACTGCAGGCTCTTTCCAGTGCCAGTGTCCAGAGACGCCTCACCAGGGTGACCGCTCACCAGCAGGCAGCAAGAGGCACATGTGGCCATGAGGGCCGGGGGCCAGCTGACGGCAGGGCAGGCCGGCGGAACACAGGGGCAGCGCCCAGGTTCCTTCTCTCCGACAATGCAAGCCTATTACTTTTTCATGAACCCATGTTATTAAAGAAATAAAAATAAGCCTGAAATTAAAACAAAATAAAAAGCTCTGTAGCCAATTTCCTTTCAACAATTCAAGCATCCTGCCTAAATTCTCAGAGACGCGGGTCCCCGCCGGCTCCATCTGTCAACACACACACATCGCCTCCAAGAACTGGCTGCAGTAGGCAAAGACCGGAGGTCGCCGTTTAAAAAATAGATATCCGTGTGCCAGGAGAACACTGCTTCATCGTTCACGCCCCACGATGAAAGAGCCGGCACCAGCATTAACACCAGCAGACCTGATTAATCCCCGGAACCACAGAGAGTCACTGCCTAGCGCGAGCCCTACAAAAGGTAACAGATAATGTTTCTGCCTCCCCCAGAGAACAAGCGGACCCACGGTCCCCAATCCCATCTTTCTCCGAAACACAAATTCCAGATTCAGGAAGAAGAGAACCGCCCAGGAGAAGGAAGGCTTCACTTACCGTCCATCCCAGAGATCACTCAGGGAGCCCGAGGAGGAACTAGCCAGGGGAAGGCTGTCCGGCGGAGGCATAAACCCCCGGCCCCTCGCCCTGCCGGCCCTTCTTGCCAGTTCACACCCTGAGCTGGCTGAGTGCTGAAATGGCTCAGGAAGCAGAGATGCCTTGGCCAGTGTTCTCAACCTCTAGCCAGTCACCAGAGAGGGCCACCCACTCAGCACTTCCCAAACAGAGGACAGAGGAGCCAAGATGGGGTTGCTGGGCCGCCCCTTCCAGCACACAGACCCTTCTGGGGGCCAGCTTGCAAGGCCGCGATGAGCTGCCCACCCCCAGGGAGGCAGAAGCCCCAGCCCGGTGGCCAGGGGCTGGATGAGGGAGAAGCGGAGGGCTCTGTCCCTGGTATGGCTGGACTCTCCCCTCTCAGATGCGTGGGGTCCGACCCCAAACCTCTCCAAGGTCCTCAAACTTCACCAAGAATCCAAGCACCTGTTCCCTTAAGCTCCTTAAGCTCTTCTGCATCTGATCCCCTCAAATCCTTCCATCTTCTCCAGTTCCTTAGACAGACTCAAGACAGCTACTTCCAGAGTCCCCTAATCCTTCCCAAAGACCTCCTTACAACCCCCACCTCTGGCCCCCAGGCCCCCCGGATGCTTGCTGTCCTCCACTCACAAGTTTCCCCTTGGGTTTCCTGGAGTCCCCAAAGATTCCATTCAAGTCTCAGACAAACACCCCAACCTTCTCTTTCCTTCCCAAGTTCACATCTAGGCTTTTGCCCAAAGGCCCCCCACTCCCCGGCCCCCACCCAAATACCTGCTACGCATGGTCACCGGGCCCCTCAAGTCATTCTAAGTCTACTTCCAGCCTGGTCCCCGATGCGCTTCCCCGGAGCCCCGCGGTGATGGCGGGTCACGACCTCCGGCCCCCCAGCCCCGGCCCGAGACTGCGGCCCCCAACAGCCCCCGGCGCCAGTTAGGGGCTGGCGCGCGCCCTCACCTTGGTTCACTAGCCGCAGAGCGTGCGTGAAGGAGGGGTCCAGCGAGTCCTTCTCCGCCATCAGCTCCGGCAGGTACTTCTCCTCCATGCTCGCCGGCCGCCCGGGCCCGGGACGCCGACGCG